CATTGCCGGATGGGGGGGGGGTTAGGGATTGACAATTATTTACATTTCTCGTTATATGATGGATGATAGATATTTGTTAGGGCACATCTACTACATTTTTTATTGGTATTTTTGAAATGTAAATAAAGAACTTTTTTTTCACAGGGGGCAATGTTTATATTTCCATTTTGCTCTTTCTGGGATCAGTAATAAGGGATACTAATGCACCCCTGTATTTATTCCCCAGGGCGATGCAGATATCTGGGAGCCCTCTCATAAAAAAAGGAGGATTCCAGATTGCTTTATAAGTCCCAGACACAAACCGCCACATCCTTTTTGTTCATGGATTCGAGGTGGTGGTAAATGTAGGGGGTGTACTTACTTTTTCCACATGCAAAATCTGCCATTTTTAAATTTAGATCACAAAAATGAATGCACCATGTCCAATTTTATACATAGTTACATAGTAAATCAGGGTTCAAAATTTCTGGTCACATTTCTGCCCTGATGAAGGGACCCTGCCTGGTCCCAAAACGTTGGATTATTTGATATGTGTGCCGTTTAGTCCAAATAAATGGACATTTTTTGTATTTAATTTACGGAGTGCTGGTGATTTCTATCATGCATTGACTGCTGTGCACGGCGCCATCCGTGATTGTCACTGCGAGCACCACTATTCCCACTTGGACTGGACGTGCTGTAAGGAGCGCAGGGGGACCTATTATTTTCCAGGGTTCAAAAAGGACATCATGGAGTCCATCGAGTGCGCCATTTGTTTAAAGTGTATTTTCATTTTTTTGCAATCGAGTTTGAGAAAACATTTGTTATGTGTTCCTATACGCACAGCATCACAGCATAATGAAAAATATATTTCTTTAAATATTTCTTACCTTTCAGATGTTTTATTACAGCAAGCAACATGGCTGAGCCCAGGTTTTTCCTCAGCCCCTTCACATTGATTTGCCCTTATAGATAGACTTAGACTAAAATGTGAGGATTGTGTTTCTCTCATTAACATACAATGCAGAAGCCAGGGTTGTAATCCTTTAACCCCCTCACCCCTCACAGCCCCTCCTAATATTGCAAAGAAGGTGAAGCAAGTTGAAATTTTAACCCCAAAGAAACCCTAATCCATATAAAAGCAATGTAAACTGCAATGAGCATTTTGTTTAATAACAGGTGACCGCGGAATATTTAGTAGCAAGGAAATTTCACGGAACACCTGCATCCAATGATTTGGAGGGGCGTCCCAATACTTTTGGCAATATAGTGTATATGTTTGAGCCTTTGTATTGTCACAATTGCCTGTTTATTGCCCACATATTTTAACTGCACTGTTTAATGGATTATACCAAACCATTCCCCCCTAAAAGTAGCAATATTTTGACCACACCCCCAGTTCTCCATGGCCAGTTATGAATGCTTGTATCATTCCCCTTCTCTGACGCATGTAAAGCCGACAACCGGGGGGCATTTATCAATGTGGTTTATTTTGGGAAAAGTAGAAGGTCAGATGAAACCAATGAAAACATGAGAAATACAAAACCTCGTTGTTGGCATTTAACTGTATTGAAGAGATACATTACAGAATTACATCTACACACATATATTAACACACATATATACAATATATATAGCTGACTATTTTTTTCTCTAAAACAATTAAGATTTATGAACTTTTCTAATTTGCTTTTTTTGTTTGGTCTGTTAAACATCCCATTAAAAATGCTTCATTATATCTGCTGAATGAAAGTGCAAAAAAATGTCCGTTGGCGTTTGGGATCCAAATTTCTGAATTGCATTTGGAGCTCCTGAATGGCATTTGGGTCTGGGAGCCACAGCTTTAGTAATATATGTATGTGGCTCCCAGACCCAAATGGCATTTAGGAGCTTCGGATCCCAGAATTTCGGATCCCAAATGCCATTCGGGTCTAGGAGATTCAGCTTTAGTATTAATATCTATATACGGTTTTCTGTGGTATTCGCAAATGAATATTCGTAAACTCGTCCGGAACTAACGGAAATTCGGATTTCGCCCGAATCCAAAACCCCGAACCGAATTGAATTTTGGATCCGAATCCCGAAATAACGATATAGCCGAACCAAATTTTTCCTCGGTTTACATGTCTAGCACACACAATGTCACGCTAGGTATAGTATTCTCTAAGGCACAATGTCATATGTTTAATGTAACCTTATGGTGTGAACCGGCCCTAACAGTTGGTGTTTTAGGGTAACCAATCTGCTCCTCGAAAGATACAGTGCAGTAAGTAAACGTTGTCACCCTAGGACAGGAAGTGTGTTACTGGCAGGATCACCAGGTGAAAATAAAGTGAAAAACAAAGAGAACTAATGCAGGCGTCGCATCTAAGGACTGGTGGACTGCAACGTATTACATTTTTGTTTTTGGGTTAAGATACACTTTAATTTTCACAATGTCGTCACTGCCATCTTTGAAAAGTCCTGGTAGTGGAATCCAGCCACACCAGGATCACCGGCAATTACATTTCTATACAACATTTATCTTCATCCTTCAGATTCAGTTTCAAGTATATTATTTAATACTGAGGTGCAGTCCTTGTAGAACGGTCCTATTTATTTGGGTGCTATGCACTCTAATCCTATTTACAACAATATTGCATAATAACTGATTTGCTTTCTTGTTTGTATCATGTTCTACACATATAAATATATACACCGCTCAGCCATAATATTATGACCACCCGTCTAATAATGAGTAATGAGTAGGTCCCCCTTTTCCTGACCCGTCGAGGCATGGACTCCACTAGACCTCTGAAGGTGTGCTGTGGTATCTGGTACCAAGCCGTCAGTAGCAGATCCTTTAAGTCTTGTAAGTTGTGAGGTGATCGACCTCCATGGATCGGACTTGTTTTTTCAGCACATCCCACAGATGATCGATTAGATTGAGATCTGTTGAATTTGAAGTCAACACCTCGAACGTGTTGTTGTGTTCCTCAAACCATTCTTCAACCATTTTTGCAGTGTGGCAGGGCGCATTATCCTGCTGAAAGAGGACACGGCCATCAGGGAATGAAGTCTCCATGAAGGGGTGTACTTGGTCAGCAATAATGTTTAGGTCGGTGGTATGTGTCAAAATAACATCCACATGAATTGTAGGACCCGAGGTTTCCCAGCAGAACATTGCCCAAAGCATCATACTTCCTCCGCCGGTTTGCCTCCTCCCCATAGTACATAATGTTATGGTTGATGGATGTATATACACACACACACACACACATACATGGAGCAGTTGACTACACTGGTAATGACATGGGTGGAGCATGAAGTATTTGTAGTCAATCAGAGATTACCTACTGCCTACCCGTGTCCACCTCTACACATGTTCTTTTTAGGACATTGTCGAATTCATTAAGGGGACGTCACCAAAACCACCCTAGTATTGTAGGTCCTTTCCTATTCTAGCAGAGGATTACACCGATGTCCCATAGAACTATTTATAGAATTTAATTAATTTGCTCTTGTTGATGGTTGTTGTTGGTTGTTGTTTGAGCCCCTAAGTCATCGTAGTAGCCGTAGTCAAACATGGAGAAGTCAACACTGTACACATTTAAAAGTCTTCTGTACAGGTCGTGTGGCAGAGTCTTCAAGTATTGTTCAGTGATGTCCCCATTAGTACGGCTATCATTTGCATGATGTTTCAAACTGGGGTATCTCATGTCTTTTGGTGCCTTAATAGTCTTCAAAACAAATTCCGCATCCTGAGTCATGCTTTCGAACTTCCCGATGACGTCATACTGGATTCTGCATGGATCGCAGAGTTGGAACATCGGCTTCCAATGGGTGTCTCTGTGGCTGGGGTTTTCCACAACGATGAAGCTGACAAATTGTTGAAAGGTAATAGGGCCTGTAGAATTGACTTTGAGTCTTCTTTTTATTACGCCAGCAATGGTTTTGCTATAGTAAACATCATCTTCATGTAGAAACTTGTCCCTGTATGCTGAAACCACCCTCTGCAAAGGATCTCTGGTGAACATTACCTTGGTGTAATTGGCGAGAAGCTCTTCTTGTGTGGCCCGGGGATAGGAGCTGAGTTTGCGCAGCAAACGGGAACTATGAACCTCATAGTGTTTCAGTTCACTTGCTGAAAGCCCCAGTGAATCATTGAGGAGAAGGATGATCCTTTTCCAGTTGGAACAGCCCACCTTTGGTACCTCACAATAGATGAATTTATGGCTGTGTTCCACGTACAACTGTGCGATAACCTTTCTGTCCAGGGGAAAGGAAATGTTGTTGAGATTGTCCTTTTCACAAACAAACTTCACAAGAGAGCTTCTGTGTTTGTAATTCACTTCCGCCGGTGGGGGGCCTACAACATCAAGATAGGAATTATTAGAAATGATACATAATAAAACACCTAGGTCTCCATATATAAACAAAAAATGCATAGCTACTCGTCCAGAGAAGCTGCATGTACATGCGTTGTGTGTGAGTTAACCAGCTTTGGTGGGACTGGGGTAAAATTGAATGTTCTTGTGGATATTTTCTTTTCCGGTCAAATGTTCTCAGGCTATTGCTCATTTCTCTTCTGTGTAATAGTGAATAGTGTCAGCCCATGATATGTTCAAAGGAAGCAATGTTGCATTGTACCTTGATACTTGTATAAGTAAATTATACTGTATGTATAAGCAATTCCAAACAGTTTATAAGAGAACTATGGCCCAATTTGTTTGCTGGCGTCCATCATGAAGATGGCAGCCGGCAGGTGTCAATAAGACGATGACATCACGGTGGGGTGACACCCAGCCTCTGGATGCCTCTGCTCATTACCACTACAAAGTATCAAGTTAAAATGCAACAGTGTTTCCTTTTTCACATTTCAGAACATTCAACCAGAAGAGAAAATACCCTAACAACGTTCAATGTTGCCCCTTTCTCACCACAGCTGGTTAATTTGCATGTACCTGTACTCTCGCTGGATGAATACATAGTTACATAATTACATAGTATTTGAGGTTCAATAAAGACGTAAGTCCATCAAGTCCAACCTATTGCGTGTATGCATTTATGTTTGAGCAGGTGTGTGCGTGTGTATGAGTCCATGTGTGATCTTGTTCTTAGGCGTACCTGTACCCCTGTATGTTATGCGCTCTGAGGAACTCGTCCAAGAGTTTCTTGAATGCTTCCACACTCTTGGCTGCAATCACTTCCTGTGGCACTGAGTTCCAGACCCTAACCGCTCTAACTGTGAAGAACCCCTTGCGCCCTGTGTGGTGAAAAAAAATTTCCACCAATTTTTGGTGGTGCCCTCTGGTCTTTGTTACGGAGCTAACCGTGAACAGTTTGTTAACAATGTTGCTGTCACCATTGCACAGTTTATACAAGAATATCATGTCCCCCCCTTAATCTCCTAACCTCAAAAGAGAACATATTTAATTTTCACAGCCTTGTTTTATAGTTTAGGTCGTCGAACCCCTAATGAGTTTAGTTGCTCTCCTCTGGACTTTTTCCAGCTCAAGGACATCTTTTCTGAGTATTGGTGACCAAAACTGCACCACATACTCCAGATGCGGCCGAACCAGTGATCTGTAAAGTGGCAAAATTATAGATTTGTCCCTGCAAGACATTCCCTTTTTAATGCATGACAGGACTTGACTTGCTTTGTTTACAGCAGCCTGGCACTGCGAGCAGTTCTTCAATCTGCGGTCTATGATGACCCCCAAATCCTTCTCCGTTTCCGACTTCCCTAGTGGCGCACCCATAAGTATATAGTCCATTTGCCTATTTTTTACTCCAAAGTGCATTACCTTACATTTATCGACATTGAACTTCATCTGCCATACAGTTGCCCATTCCCCGATTTTATCCAGGTCCTCCTGTAATGTTACAATGTCTAAATCCGAGTCTACTACCCTCCCAATTTTTGTATCATCAGCAAACACTGAGACACGGCTACTCACTCCCTCCACTATATCATTAATAAATCGGTTAAAAAGCATGGGACCCAGCACAGAACCCTGGGTTCTGTGCTGGGTCCCATGACCTCAACCACTCATGACCTCAACCTAGTCTGAAAAGGTGCCGTTTAGCGATACTCTTTGTACACGTTCCTTTAGCCAGTTTTCTATCCACGTGCACACTAATTCATCTATGCCCATAGACCTTAGCTTGTGTAACAAGTGTTTGTGTGGCACCGTATCAAATGCTTTGGAAAAGTCCAGATACACTACGTCCACCGTCCTCCTTCCATCCAGATCTCTACTTACCTCTTCGTAAAAGGTCAGCAGGTTGGTCTGACAAGAACGATCCTTCCTAAATCAATGTTGGTTATCGGTTATTATGCCATGATCCCGGAAGAATTCCACTAAGTAGTCCTTAATAATTCCCTCTAATAGTTTACATACAATGCATGTCAGACTAACTGGTCTATAGTTCCCCGGTTGGCATTTTGACCCTTTTTTTTTATATAGGTACTAGGGATGCACAGATACTTTTCGAGTACCAGTGCAGATACTTCACATTTTACATGACAACTACCAGTGTTGCAGAGGTTGCAGCTGGGACCGGGCTTTGGCGCTAAACCACTGCCCTGAAATCATTAGTCGATATTGTTTTAGAAAAACTGTCACATGACACTAAACAAAAATGTATCAGTACTCGTACTTGTAAGTACTCGGCAAGTACCAGTACTCGTACTCGCAAAACTGGTATCTGTGCATCCCTTTATTTATATTTATAAAAATAAAATCGTACATTAAAACAGAGATGTTGAAATCCCGGGAGCTCCGTGTGCTCCTTACAAATGACAGGGGCCTCCTAACTTTTGAATTTTTCTCTAGTGTAGTCTTGGAGCTCAAAAGTATCGATACATGTACTCGTACTTGTACCGAGTACTGTACTTGGTATCTGTGCAACCCTAATAGGTACCACATTAGCCCTCCGCCAGTCGCTTGGCACTCTACCAGCCATTACCGATTCCTTAAAAATGAGGAACAATGGTTTTGTTATCTCCATGTGCAGCTCCTTGAGTACCTTGGGATGTAGATGATCAGGTCCTAATGCTTTATTTGTATTTAGTAGTTTAAGCCTATGTTGTATCCCAGTTTCATTCAACCACTCAGGTGTATTTCCTGTTGAATTTTGTGTTTTGTCATGTACATTAAACCCTTCTGTTTCCTTGAATACCGAGGAGAAAAAAGTATTTAGCCTCGGCCCTCTCCCTGTCGTACCATTTATGTCCTTTATTGGGCCTATCTGGTCCTTTCTCCCCTTTTTACTGTTTATGCACTGAAAACATTTTGGGGTTCCGTTTACTAACTGTGGCGATATACTTCTCACATTCAATTTTAGCCGCCCGGACTACCAGTTTACATCTTTTATTACATTCTTTGTACTTTTGGAATGCCAATACTGACCCCTCCAGTTTTATACTTAGTAAATGCCACTTTCTTTTCCTTAATGTGTTGTTTTACCGTTTTATTTAGCCATATTGGCTTTGTTTTCGATCTTTGACTTTTGTTCCCCAACGGTCTACACCTGGTGATAGTATTTTTTTATTTGTTCTTGAAACAGTCCCACTTCTGGTCAAAGTTTAGTTTATATAATAAGTTTTCCCATTTGATTTCACCCACTATATTGCGTAGTTTATCAAAGTTAACCTTCCTTAAGTTTAGGCTTCTCGTCCGCCCATCCCCCTTCCCTTTCTTGCACCCAATATTAAAAGCAATCACCTTGTGATCACTATTACCCAGTGTCTCCCCGATTACAATATCCTCTATTAACTCCGTATTATTGCTGATGATCAGATCTAGGATGGCATTTTCCCTAGTCAGGACCTCAACCATCTGATCCATGAAATTGTCTCGCAACATATTAAGAAAACGGGCCGCCTTTGCAGATTTTGAAGTTCCATTAGCCCAGTTGATGCATGGGTAATTGAAGTCTCCCATAACCACAGCATTTCCTTGTTTCCCCGCTATTTCTATTTGGGATTGTAGGTGGACCTCCTCCTCTTCCCCTATATTTGGAGGTTTATAACAGACACCCACAGTAAGTTTACGTTGAAGGTCCGTTCTATCTAGTTCGAGCCATAATGATTCCACATCATCTCCACCGTCTGACGTGATATCGTCACGTATGTGCATAAGGAGGTTATTTTTAGCATATATACATACTCTCTTTCCCCCCTTCTTGCCAGCCTGTCCCTCCTGAACAGGTTGTACCCTTCTATGTTAGTAGCCCAATCGTGTGTGCTGTCTAACCATGTTTCTGCTATTCCTACTATATCTTAGTCCTCGAGTAACAAAACTTCAAGATCTTGCAGAATAACAGTTCTGCAAGCTTAATTGCCAATTGAAAGGTTAAGTGATCTGTAAAAAAAAAAAAAGT